AACTGATGTCTTATTTGACCCAGCAACTCTTATATTAAAACTTAGCATTTTAAGCCTGTAACCCTAGCTACTCAGGAGGCTGAGATCTGAGGATCATGGTTCAAAGCCTGGGCAGGGAAGTCCATGAGACTCTTTATCTCCAATAAACCACTCAGAAAACTGGAAGTAGTGCAGTGGCTCAAGTGGTAGAGTGCTAGCCTTGAGCTGAAGAGCTGAGGGACAGCACCCACGCCCAGAATTCAAGCCCCACGACTGACAAAAAAAAAACTATCATTTTAATTTCAGATTTGCAATGAGCTCATTGGGAAGTCAGAAAGAAAGGTTACATGTCCCAATTCACACTTCTAGACAGGAAGATCTCAGGCTGAACATGACAGTTCTTAAGCCACAGAATGGATTTTTAAAAAAGGAACATTCAGCAGCTGTTCTTGTGACAGTTTACAGATTCTCAAGCTTCAGTTTTCGAACCAGCTGGTGGCCTGGTGAAACCCTACTTGGCTCCATCCAGTTCAAGGGGTGGGGCAGGGTCCCTCAAGTGTATTTCTAGTAAGTTCCTAAATGATGTGTGGATGCCACAAGCTGGGCATCCCATGCGGGGAGGGAGGGGCGGGGGCAGGTGGTTTAGAATGCCAGGAGTACATTATCAACCAGAAGAAAATTTCAATGCAGATTCAAGGGTGGACACCATCCCAAACTGACTGAACTCTCCTCTTTGCAGGCACCCGTGTGGAGACCCGGGATGGAGCAAACATCCTGTCCCATTTGGCATCTTTATCCCTTGCCCATCCTGCAGATGAATAACCGATGTTCTCTAATTAAGTCTTGAGGTCTGCACCTTGTAGAATAGCAACCACGTGGCTACAAATTCTATCTTTTCTGTGATGGGGACAGGTGGAGGTCTTAAAACAGGTATTTAAAAAAAAAAAACACCTCCTAGTTCATCCTCATCTCAAGACAGTATATCTTTCAGGATACTTCTTTATCCTGGTGGATGACCTTGTGCCTAAATACCTGACCCAGAAGCAATTCTCTCACACAGGAGACTTCTCTAGACCAGAAGGCTCCAGCTTATTCCTACCAAGGTGTCCGCTCTCTAGGAGAGCCACGGTCAGAAACGCCACACTAACAGGATCCCAGCGTGGTTATGCATGCTCTCTGTGGTGGTACACACAGGAGACAGGGGCACTTCAAAAAGACCACGTGCAAAGCAGAGAAATGATTCTCAGGACTGTGCTGTTGATCATTTGGTTTTGCTGGGGTCCGGAGCTGTGCGGGTACTGGGTTTGGGATCAGTGGAATGAGAAACTGGGAGCCAAATTGCAAACCATGGTCCGGGGAAGAGAAGCTTTGATGGCCTGAAGGTGGAAGGTCAGGACTGAAAATGAGTGCCCAATTGTGAACAAATGATATGCACTGCAGTCAGTTTCCCTACACAGCAGAAAAGGTGAGGCCTTAAAAGACATGATTGACCTGTGATTGTAAGAGCAACTATGAACTGGAAAAGGCTGAATTCTCCTTGTTTAAAATGAGAGCCTTCCTACGCCATCCTTCCCTAACTTCTTTCCTGATCTCTCTCTCTGAAATGCATACAGATCTTTTCAAAAGCTAAAAGGTTGCCTCTTACAACCTTTCTGACCTTGTAAAGTCCCTTATAGGCTGAGAAACCATCTCTCTGAAATAATCCCTTCAGGGTTGTTTACACCTTCATCTCAAAGAGGGGTAGCAACCTATCTACAGCAGTTGTCCTGATCCAAAGCTGCCATTTATCATGTGGCTTTCCTTGGGAGAAAGCAAATTAAAACAACTGCCCTAATTTTGGGTGAACTGTATGTGACCACATCAAGTCTGCTTATTTTAGCACAAGTTGTTGTTCAGCACAGTGGGCTCGGGTTCTGTTTTTGTTGTTTCGTTTATTTTATTGAACTCTGAGCCTAGGCGCTGTCCCTGAGCTCTTCAGCTCAAGACAAGTGCTATACCACTTGAGCCACAGTGCCACTTCCTGTTTTCTGGTAGTTAGTTGGAGGTAAGAGTCTCACAGACTTTCCTGCTGGGCTGGCTTTGAACTGCAATCCTCAGGGCTCAGCCTCGTGAATAGCTAGAATTACAGGTGTGAGTCACCGACACCCAGATTATTTTGTTGGGTTTTTATTGTAAAGGTGATGTACAGAGGGGTCACAGTTACATAGGTAAGGTACTAAGCACATTTCTTTTTGAAAAGTGTCAACTTTTCCCTTATTTTCTCCCAGTTTTTCTTTCTCTCCCCACCCTCCTCCCCACAAGTTGTATACTTCATTGTCAACATAGTGTCTAGTGTGTATCCCTAATGAAGTAGTTCACCTTTGTCCCACCATTTCTGTGCTTCCCCTTACCTTCACCAAAACAGATAAAACTTATCTACAAGACAAAAAGTGCAGAAATCAAAAACAGCGGCAAAAGAGCATAAACAAACGACAAAAAAATGAAAAAAACACAAGAAGTAAAATAAAAACTCATTTCTATTTCTTGGAGTTCATTTCAATAAACATAATTTTGTATGATTATATGCACATAGCTATTGAGCCTCTGTGATCCTCTCCTAAGAATAGCCTCCTTTGGTATGAATGTTTAAAGTCCTGTTTAATTAATCATGTCCAAGTGTAATTATTTGTCTTTTACTATCCATTGTGTTTACATGTAGATTTATAGGCATATTCTAATTACTACATATGAGAGAAACCATGCAGCCTGTTTTTCTGGGCCTGGCTTACTTTGCTTAATACAATGTTTTCAAAGTCTTTCCATTTCCTTACAAATGGGGCAATATTATTCTTTCTGATGGAAACATAGAATTCCATTGTGTATATATACCACATTTTCTTGATCATTTATCCAGCGAGGGACATCTGGGTTGATTCCATATCTTGGCTATTGTAAACAACTCTGCAATGAACTTGGTTGCGTTGGTGGCTTTTGTGTGGCCTGGTTTGTGGTCAATTGTATAAATAGGCCAGGAGTGGAATTGCTGGGTCCTAGGGAAACTATGTGCTTAGTTTGTTGAGAAACCTCCATATTGCTTTCCAGAGTGGTTGAACAAGTTTACATTCCCATCAACAGTGTAAAAGTGTCTCTTTAGGTCACATCCCTGCCAGCATCTGTTATTATTTATTTCCTTGATAATGGCCATTCTAACTGGGGTGAGATGGAATCTCAGTGTTGTTTTGGTCAGTATTTCTTTTATTGCCAGAGATGCTGAACATCTCTTCAGGTGTCTATTGGCCATTCTAATTTCATCTTCTGTGTTTGAATCTCTTCTTTGTCTTCTACTTTTCATAGGGAAGTTTCTTGGGTTGGTAGGAGATTTTTTTTATTTTCCCAAGAGGGTCACACAGAGAACCGGAACTGAATCCAAGAAAAACACTAACGGCCTCAGTTCAGGCCTGGTAGTTCCCACTGGCACATTGTGTGTCTGCTACTATTTACTGAGCTGGTCTTTTCACAGGGCAGTGTGACTTGCCTAAGCTCTGATGGCAGAAGCTGACATGACAGTTTCTGCTACTTTCTCAATGACTTTCCAGAGGCCAAGGCTAGGGTAAACACTCAACAAATGCTATCTGACTTGGAAGAATGAAATCGATTTTGATCTTAACTCACTGCTATGGTGCTACACATCTCCCAAGTTTCCATGCTTTGAAACTGAATACCCACCTGGAGGCGGCAACTTAATCTGACCACATTGTGAAGAGGTGGGCCTCTGAGTGGAGACCCCAAGATTAAGTTGCTATGTGAATCCTGCGGTGACACAGCCAAGCAGCTACCACCACCTGTGGCCTCTGACACCTGTACATCTAGAGCCAGGACCCGAAATAAACCTTTCTTCCTTATAAAGCTCCCCAGCCTTGAATATTTTGCTTTTCATTAAAAACAATCCTATATTTAGTAAAGGAATGAAGGGGGGCTGGGGAGGGCAGCTTGGAATGCTTTCTCAGTGTGATGTGGGCTGGAGAAGGGGAAGGAGTTGGAGGTCTTGAATATACTTTATTCCCTGGTTCGTTCAGGATGGCCAAGGCCAACACGGGCTGTGCCAAGCGCTATGTAAGCCTTGATTCAAAGGAGGCCCCGCGCGGCTCCACTCTGCCCCCCCAGACCTTCCCCCAGGCCCAGCCTTCCTCCCCCCCCCCCCCCCACGACTCTCCTGTTGGTCACGCTGCTTTCTTTCTAGCCCATTCATTCCAACATAACAGCACAGGGGTGGAGCGGAACGCCCTGGCGGCCCGGAAGGTGGGCCCGGGCTCCCACAGTGTGGGAGGAGGGCACTGCGTGGGCCGGCCCCACCGTGGGGCTGAGCTCCGGGGAACAAATCGCGGGGGGCGCCGCGGGATCCCGGGAAGCCCCGGCCCCGCGGCGAGGCGGCGCGGGGGCCCTGGCACCCCCGATTCCGGAGCATCGTTCGGGGCCCGGGGCCGGCTCCCCGCCCTGGCTCCCACCCCCAGCGGCGCCGGGAGCACGGACTCGGGGGCCTGGGAATCGCGGTCTTTATTTCCGGGGCGGGCGGGTCCGGGCCGCGCTCAGGGCCAGCTCCACCTGCGGCTCCAGCCGCTCCTCGAGGCGGGCGCGGGGGCGCCGACGGCCGGCCTGCGGGCAGCGGGGTCAGGCTGCGGGCCGGGCCCGGTGTCCGACCCCTGCTCCCCGGGCCTCCCTCCGGGGACCCCCGGGGACCTCGCGCGCCTCGGCGTCCCCTGGGCGCCTACCTCTCCTCTGCGGACACGGGCTCCGCTTGCAGCCTGTGGAGAGGCGCAGAGAGAAGACAGCGCGGGTCGGCGGGGAGCACAGAGGAAGCCACAGAGGCCTGAGGAACGCCGCACAGGACGCGGCCCTAACCTCACCTGTCCTCCGCGCAAGCGCCCAGCGACTCCCCCGGCGAGCGCTCCACCTCCAACAGCCGCACGCTGAGCTGCTGCCCTGCGGGGGCGGGGTGTCAGCGAGGCCACGCCCAACCCGAGCTCCGGGCACGCCCCCCGCCCCTAGAGCTCAGACCACGCCCCCGAGCTCTGACAACATCCAACCCCGTTCTCCCGAGATGAACACGCCCATCCGCCCCCTGGAGCGCGGGCCACGCCCATACCACACCCCGCGCCCGCCTCACTCTCAGCCAGCAGGTGCTCCAGGCTTCTCTCCAGGGCCTGTATCTCCTGGGTCAGCCGCTGTTCCAGCATCTGTGAGGTCAGAGGCCCCTGGCCTGTCCATCTGTCCGGCTACACCGACCGCCCTCCCCCTTTGCGCTTCAGGCAATTTGCACTACATCAGCTCATTCATTCAATTATGAACGCATGCACGGCTTCCGCTGCAGAAGGAGGCCCTATGAACAGCTCAGATTTCACCTCTTCCCACTGTCCTCAGCCAATATTCCCAGTTACGCTCGGGCAGCTTCTGGGGAAATGCTGAAGCCACACACCGCACCCACAAGGCACAGCTTCGCCCCTCTACTCACGTGTCACCCGCTCCTGGCCTGCCCCACGGGTCACACCATCTGCCTAGCCTTTCTCGGTTAGCGTCTGGGTTTGCCTCCCCGTTGCCTCCCCGTGTGTGTGTGTGTGTGTGTGTGTGTGTGTGTAACAGCTGTGCCCTGCCCTGAGGGTCACTGTTGCCTCTCCCTGCTACAGCGCTGCCCGCTGCAAATGCCACAGTTGGAGCAAGGCTTTCCCACAGCTCCATCTTCAGCAAGCTGGGGGGAGGTGGGGTGCCCTGATTCAAAACCAAAGGTAGCAGGAAGAAAGGAGCCCCAGCTCTCCACAGTGCTGGGCCTGAGCAGCGGGCACGTAGAAGCCGGGCTCACCTGTAACTCCCAGAGGTCCTTGTGCTGGTACATCAGATCCTCCAGCTGCTCTCCCATATCCAACCTGGGGCCCACATCCAAGAACAAGACATCACAGTTTAGAGCCGATACCCAGCCCCCCAGAGCCTCTGGATCTGGGGTTCCTCATTCGTGCTCCCTCCTTCCCACAAGCTGTGCAGCCCACTCCCACGCTCCCCCCAGAGGCCCACCACACCCAGGCTTGGGGGGTGTCCCAGCATCCTCTCTATGGGTCTCTGCCAGCTGAGCGTTCTGGTCAGGGAGGTGCTCTGCATTGTTCTGCACCAAGTGCTTCCTGGGGAGGGAAAGACCACCCTCAGGCACACCCTGATGCGCCCTGAGTCTCCAGTGGGAGTGGAGGTTGGCGCTCTGCTCACAATCTTCATCCATCACCTTTCTTCAGGTGAGTGTGAACCTGTCAAGTTGTCTACTCTATCCATTTCATGCCTTACCAAGAAAACTTCCTAAGAGGTGTGATTTTTTTTTTCATCATGGATTCTACAGCCATGATCTGAAGGCTAGATATAATCCACCCATGGTTCTCAGTTTCCTCGCACATAAAATGGTATAGCAACGGGAGGGTGACATTAACTCCTATGAGGGTCATTGTGAGAGCAAGTAAATACATGAACACAAACATCCATCAGAGCATGCATGTGTCATGGTTAATCATGTACACACAGTCACTACCTCTCATCAAAGTTCTCCACACAAAGTCAGGCAGCATGAGAACATCAGCCTCTGGCCCCAGAAATGTGCTAAGCAAAGACTCAAAGGATGAAGAGAAGGGTGGACAGACAGTGAAAAGAACAGTTGATTGGATGAGTGATTGGCTAGAGGAATGATGGCTGAGTAGAGATGATGGTTGGATGGAAAAACAATGGAAGGACTTTAAGAAGGATGGTCACCTGTCTGAATGGATGGTTAGGGAAAAAATAAGAAAGAATGGCTTACTAACAGCAAAAAGAAGAAAGATGGGAGAAAAGATGAATGCACGGTTCGATAGATGCAAAGTTGAAGACACGGCTAACTTTGCTGGTGACTTAGTCGCATAGTTGAGCAGATACAGGGGTAGGTGAATGGGTGTAGATGAATGGGAAAGTTAGCGGATGACTGAACCTAAACTAGAGGGATAGATGGAGGGCTCAGAGAAGCTGATAGTCAGTGGGGAAAGATGACATAATAATGATCAGCAGTGAGTGACGATGCTCTTGCGTGAATCTTACCACCACCTAAAATCAGAGGCAACTGGACAAGTGCCTGGCCAGAAAAGAAGATGAGGAGTGTGTGTCCTACCGAGATGCTTTCTCCTCTGCTGGAGGGGGAGGTGGGGGAGAGCCTGGGAAGGGCCTCTTACCACTGAGCCTTGCTTTTCTTTTTGTGCCAGTGATCTTGCAGGATCTTCAGTGCCTCTGTGGAGAGAAGGAAACCAAGGAGGTGCCGTGAGGAGCTCTTGATGAGACAAGGTGTGGGCAAAGAAAGGAGCCCTACATTGCAATGGGTAGTGGAGTGCCCTGGGAGAGTTGGGTGTCTCCTGGAAATGAACAAGCAGCTGAAGGAGAGGTAAGACAACCCCCCCCACACACACACACAGACAGGAGCTCAGGTTTCAGGGCTTCTCATGTGGCTGCTCAGGAAGACTGGGTTCCCCTGTGAGGCACAGGGTAGGATACAGGAAGTGGCAAATACCTTGTTTCTTTCTCAAGACCTCCTCCAGGTGTGCTTCCTCTCCATTCACTGGAAAACACAGTGGCACATTCAGCCCCCAGGGACTTGATGGAAGGGGTCCAAGTGCACACAGAATGCTCTGTTCAGCCCAGGTGAAGAGACTTCATGCTAGCCCTGCCTCACCTCCCATGGGGGCCATCCTGACCCCTCCTCCCCTACCCTCCACCCTTCCCTGCCAGGAGTCAATGCCCTGAAGAATATACAAATATTATGTGGAGGAGACAACTAACACAACAACATCCCAACAAAGATAAATGCACAGCTTCTGTTAGAAGCAGCTCCTGTGTTCATCCTAGCATGGAGGCTGTCCCTTCTCTCACTGGACACAGCCACAGAACTGGTTCCCCCCCCCGCCCCGATTTCCTGGAAAGCTGAGGAATGTATTGAATTCAGGATACAAATGACAAAGTAGAATACTAATGCCCCCCAATTCTGAGCACTCATTAACACAAAGACAGACATCCCAACAAAGATGAATTTGTCTTAAAGCCCCCAAATTTTGAGTGTTCTATTTTGTCATTTGAATCCTGAGTTCCATATACTCCTCAGCTTTCCAAAAAGTCAGGGAGAAAAAAAATCAGTTCTGTGGTTGTGGATAGCCCTAGATGCTAGATGCACACATCACAGGATGTCTAAAAAGAAATGTGTCCCATTAGAGGAAATAAAGAAAAAAAATAGAGGTCTGGAAGAAAATCCAAAAGCAAGCAGGAGAGTGAGAGGGACAGAAAGAGAGTGGGACCATCAAAGCAGCCTTGTCAGGACTGCCCCACAGCAGGAGGCAGTCTGGATTGTGTGGGTTCGGAGCATTGCAGGGAGAGGGTCAGAAGAGTCCCTGCCTCTTCTGATCTCACTTACAGGAGTCTAGCTGTTGAAGCAGGATCTCCTGGAGAGTTTGGCCCTCTCCTAGTTCCTTGTTGGATGTCTGCTTTGCTGAGCCAAAGGCAAGAAGACAGAGTGAGCACAGCTTCGGCCTCACTGCTCTCTGGGGAAGGCTGACAATGTGTGTTCATCTTCTAGCAGCCTGGGTAGGGGTGGGGCTCTTGGATCTTAGAGATGAGGAGTTGGAGGCATTCAAAGTCCAGGGCCGTCCTGTTGGCCAGTCTGCAGGGTGGGGCAGGGCAGGGGGAGTCCCCAAGTTTACCTTGCTGTAGCTCATTAATACGGTTAATCAGGTCCTTGATCTGAGGCTCCAGGCTTCCCTCTGGAGAGAAGAAAAACAGATTGAGCCAGAAAAGGCAGAGGCCCTGTGGCCCAGGCAGAGGGAGGAGGGCTGTATGCTGGTACTGGGGCTCTGTCGCTGTCAACCACTTGTTATTTATTGAGCTGTGGCTTGGGGCTTCGGAGAGGCCCGGGCAGGAGTTGTATTCTTGTGGGGAGATGGATGTCCAGCGAAGAGATGGAAGTCAATCTGGGTGGCAGTGCCTGCTGCGAAGGGGAGATGGGTGTCAAAGAGCAGGAAGGTAATGGGCACCTCCTAAGACGCAAGGCGAGGGGCTGGCGTGGCTGGAGGCCAGTCTGGGCAGCTTCTTGGGTCAGAGTGGGAAGCTCACAGATCAGTGCGGGGTGTGATCACAGCAGTGACCTCCCATCTGCCCCCAGGCAGTCAGAGTTGGGCAGAACAACTGTCATCCGGGCAATGTGGAATCTGCTTGAACCGAAGGAAACTCTGCTTTATGTGGCCGGAGGCACCCTGTATATTCCCCAGCGACAGAGTTGTCACTGTAGGGAGAAGCCTTTCTCCTTGTCCCTCTCCAGATTGGTGACAGAGGTGGGACTTAAAGCCACCCCACCCCTGCTGGGTCTCACTGTCAACCCCTAAAACATTCTGGAGTTAATCAGCTCCCATCCTGCTTTTTCCCAGGTCATCAACTCTGCATACTTCTAAAGACAGAGCTCTGTCCATGGTGCCGATCATGACTGATTTTTTAAAAAAAAAAAAATCCCAGGTCTTATTTTACTGCTGATGGTCAGGGTGGGTTTCTGAGATTTGCTTCCAGCAATCTCTTTGTGAACTCTAGTGCAGGCAACCATCCCACGTGCAGCCACAGTGCGAGGGGGGGGGGAGCGTGGAGGGGGAGGTTCCCTTTTGTTTGGAGACATAGATGACAGCAGGTGAAACTGAGGAAGCTAAGCTCTAACCAACCTCCAGCACCAGCTGCACTCTGCTCCAGCCTGGAGGCCAGCCATCTCCCCAGCAAAGCCAAGGGCACGCCAAGGTCAAAGCCATCTGCATTGCCCTTTGCCATAGGAAGAAAGAATCTACATCCATGAATGTATTCTTTTTTTTTTTTTTTTTTGGTCTGTTGTGGGCCTGAACTCTGGGCCTGAGCGCTGTCCCTCAGCATTTCAGCTCAAGGCTAGCGCTCTACCACTTGAACCACAGTGCCACTTCCAGCTTTTTCTACTTATGTGGGGCTGAGGAATCAAACCAGGGCCTCATGCATGCAAGGCAAGCACTCTACCACTGACCCACCTTCCCAGCCCATGAATGTATTCTTATACAACACAAACCAAAAAAAAAAAATCTAAAAAGTTAAGAATTTAAAAACAGCAAGTCAGGAAAATGGATGATATGGTGTGTGGTGGTGGTGGTTGTGGTGTGTGTGTGTGTACATAAGAAGTCAGGGCATGCTTTTCCATCCTCTTAAACATCAGGAACCATGGGCTGTCTGTGTTTGGGCTTACAGGATGGAATTATGAGGGAGTAAAGGAAATGGGATCATTTCCCCGCGCCCCCCACCCCGCCCCCGTATATGGGTTGAGGAGGCTGGGTTTTGAGCCATTGGACCTAATACACCAGGGCAAGACACAGACACAAGACACAGGACCTTTCTGCAGCTTTTTCACAGTGGCCAGCAAGTCTTCATTCATCTTCGAAGATTTGGCCTGCCCTGTGGAGAGGAAAACCCAGATTATAGGACTCATTGGGAATGAGAAGGGACAGAGGAAAAGACCCAGGGCCACTGGAATGGCAGGAAGTCCCTATGATCTCAGTGCACACCTCTAAGCCAGAGTTCAAGCCAAGTAAAGATTTTGGTTTCCAGCCAGAGCAAGAGCCTTTAAGAACCTTCTTTTGTTCTCTGAAGTTCATGGTGTGACTGATGAATCAGGCTCCTGATCATTCAGGAGGGGTCAAAAGACAACACTCCCAGAATTTCCTTCATAAAACTCAGGGGTGCGGGGAGAGGATGCATTATTGCTGCTGTCATTACTAAAGGTCAATATGAAGTTCTTACCAATGCAATAGGGCAAAAAAGTCTTCACATCGAATGGCTATTCACAGCTACTAACATTAAAACATGAAAAAGGGCCAGATACCAGTGGCTCATGCCTATAATTCTAGCTATTCAGGAAACTGATATCTGAAGCCCAGAAAGTCCATGAGACTCTTATCTCCAATTAGTCACAGAAAATGCCAGACATGGTATTATGGCTCAAGTAGTAGAGTGCTAGCCTTTAGCAAAAGGAGCTCAGGGACAGCACCCAGGCCCAGAGTTCAAGTCCCAGGACCAGAAAAAGAAAGAAAGAAAAAGAAAAAAGAAAAAGGACAACTGGATGTTACAAACCTTTTGATGGAAGAATCTCGACACTTCTTATGAGAGGTGTCTTTTCCACACAAACACAAACACAAAAATAGAACTATGCCAGGCAGGTTCCAAAGGGCTGATGAACATGTCAAATTATGCCCCTGGAAATGCTCAGCACAGCCTGGTTTCTTCAACAAAGAAACTGCAAAGGAGAAAATGGGGGAGAGGGAGACCCTTATATTAAAAAGGGCTTCATGTCTACCTCAAGTAATTACTGTGTATAGGTCTTCTTTAAATCCTGATTGAGAACAATATGCATTTTTTAAACTAAATATACAACATAAGCCCGTGTTACTTCTAAAATTCAAACTGCAAAACACAGGAAAATCTTAAACCGTTAAAGTTAGTTATGAAAGGTCCAATGCCAACGAGCCACTCCACTCCAGTGAAAATTGGGCAGAGTACAAATGCATATAGTTGCCAAACTGACTGCAGAAGTACTTCTGTACTTATGGACTGGGAAAACCTCCCTCTACCCCAAGTTCCTCAGCTGTTTTCCTTCTAAGTAAATAGTACTGTGTTATACAATCTTGTATTTTGCACTTGACCACGTACACCAGTGACATTTTTAGTTGTTCATTTTACCAGTGACACAAGGTTCCATTGCACATATACACAATCGTTTCAAAGCAGTCTCCTCCTGGTGAACATTTGTTTCCTGTTATTTACTGTTAGAGAAAGGTTAATGATCATCAGACAGAATTTCCCTAATTGCCCCTACCTGTCTTTTGCAGCTAGCTTTTCAAACTATTTCTGAAAGAGCTCCTTCTGTGTTTTTCCTCTCTACTGCTTTTTTCCTCTTCTGGACTAATCATGAGAAGGCCATGGGTGAATGAGTACACCTTTCAAAAACCTACTATCGTGATACAAATTTTAAAAAATTCCATGTTACACAACCACCTGGGGAGTACAAGCCCCCTTTTAAACATTTTATTTTGAAATAACTTCAGATGTACACAAAAGTTGTAGAAATAGGCTACATTGCTCCCATTTGGGACAGATACTCTATCTGTCCCTAACCCCCAAGTTTCAGACATTGTGATTCACTAATAATTATTTAATTTACTAGTGTGCATTTCCTATTACAGAGGGAAATCTACCAAGCAAGAGCTGGACAAACAACAAAATCAGATTTTTAATATCACCTGCTATTAACCTGTAATCCTCAGACGACAAAAATTGCCCTCTTTTCCCCTTAGAGTTTAAAGTAACATAGATAGCACTACCCATATTTTCCTTAAGGAAAAATAAAATTATATATCACACAAAAAAATGCCTTCAGTCCTGCTCCCTTCCTCCCCCATTCCTGTACACTGTCCATAGCTGTTACGCCTTGATCATTCAGACACTTTATACTGTGTAACACTCTAAGGCTGTACTGAGTAATCTCTTTTCTTCCTTTTTTTCAATCTCAGCTAGCCTTTCACTAATAAAAATATGAGTTCTCATTCTGTGCCTGGGAAAATGATCTTATCCACTTACAATTAATTTTTTATGACTAGCACACCAGTCTAGCTCACAGGCCTTCTGCTGCAGGCACGGGGGTCCTGAAACTTGGCCATTTCTCTTGGTTCCTCCTTGTGTTTAGTCTTCCTTGACACGCCACCAACCACACCCGGTGCTCACATTTGTGAACTCTCTTGATGACCTCGCATGGTGGCTGCAGGTGTGGAGTGGCACTTCAGATACCAAAATACCCTGTCAGCCTGCCCCTAGTGAATCCTTCACTGGTCCAGTCTCAGTGAGGCAAGGGACTACCTGCTTCACCAGAGCTGGTATTATCCCTCCCTTTATACAACACCAATCTGATGGATTAGTATTGGTAATTTGATATATATTTTTTCTCTATTGCTGAGGAAAGTAATCCTAACTTTGGCTGTGAGGAATCCTCAAGGTCATCATCAAAATTTGTTTTAACATTCTTGGAGACCCATTTAATGGGATCTCTTTGTATTTCATCTGTATCATTTTTTTTGACAGTCTGTCACCTGTGGCTCTAATCTAAGACAAACTCTGGATTAAAGTGACTGCATTAGTTACACATTATGAAATTCCTGAGCATCGTCTATATACTCATCAGGCCTTGGCTGAGAAAATAGTGATCAAGTAAGTCTCTGTTCTAATAGAGCTCACATCCAAGGACTGGAAATTACACAAACAGCCCATCATTATTTGATTTTTGCATCGATAGGTCTAACCAGATGCGACCTTCCGTGTTTGTGAATATAGTGGTTTAAAGAACGTGTGGGAAGGGGGACACAAAGAGGCAGACAAGGTCCTCTGTTGAAGCACAGTGAAGCGTGCTGGGTGTTCACGCTACTTTTCCTCTACTTTGGTACACTGTGAAGCTTTCTAGAATGGAAAGAGAAGAAAACCGTAGGCTAGCGCGGCGCCCAGTGGGCCCTGCGCTGGGAGATCTTTCGGCTGGATTCTAGGCTGGGCGCCCCTCCTCGGCCCCGCTCACCTGGAGGCAAGGCCATTCTCCACGGAGATGCTGAGTGAAGCGGGGTCCAGGCTGGGGGCTGGACCACGGGGTGTGTGTGTGTGTGTGTGTGCGCGCGCGCACCCCGTGTGTGTATGCACACGCGCGCGCACCCCATCCTCCCCGGCTGAAAGCGAGGCACGCGGGGGGACCGGCGTAGGCCGTGGGTCCCGGGAGCCCCCCCTCGAGTCCGTCCGGGCCACATCACAAGGTGCTTCTCATTTATTTCCACCTCGTGGAACGGTTAAAAGTGTTGATATTAAAACGCTTAGAAACTTATTTAAAGAAACAACAACGCCCTCCCTCCCCTCTGCCGGGAGAGGGGCGCAGCCCACTGTCCCCCGGTACCTGCGGCCGCCGCCTCCTCCGTGGACGCCTCCTCCGGGGATTCCCGCCACTTTCCCTCCGAAGGCTCCGGCTTCCCCGCCGTTTTCCAGCAGGGGGTTTGCGCAGGAGCGCTGGTGGGGCACGTGACGGTGGGAGGCAGCGCGCATGCGTGCTAGGCTCACGTAGTCCAGAAATACCAGCGTCCAGGAAACCGGATGCTCTGCTCTGAGCAGGCGCAGAACATCCCACGCCCTGGCTGACCTTACACGCGCGTACGCGCACGCGCCATTGACCATATGAACAAGGGCAGTGGTAGGGTATGGAGCGGCGGGGGGGTGAGAGTCAGGCGCACACACACACCAGTCTAGGGAGGCCTCACCCTCTTTAGACTGCTTATTTTGTTGTAGGCTAAGTTGGGGACAATGTGAATGAACCATGTGGTACTTGAGAGTTTCAACCCTTTCTGTTTATAAATCTTCTTTAAGGAGCCTAGAAGAAAAAGTCACTTCGGTTTCACGGGGAAGAAGGGCTTTACAAGCTACGTACACCTCTCTACTTTGTAGAGTCCAGATCTCAGCCACTGTAGGGAGAAGCCATGTGCTCTGTGTCCTAGTGGACAGCCAGCCTCCTCCTCCAGATGATGGGGCCCAGTTTTTGTGGAAGGGTAAAAAATGAACTGAAATACAGGGAGGGCAAGGAATAACTTGGTGGGGCTTGGAGTTTAGGCCTTTTGTGTCATTTTCTCTTTAAAATACTCTCAGGCCTCTGTTCTCCCCCTTCTAGAACCTCTGTGGATCACCCTCGGAGTCCCAGACTTCTGAAGCATGATGGAGGGGAAGCCCTTGGCAGGCTAGAGTAACATCCAAGTCCAGCATGTCCAGAAGAGGGAGGGGAAAAGGACTGAAGGCTTTCCCAGAGGTGCAGATACATGAAGGGTGGGAGAAGGCAGGCAGCCTGTGCCCCTGGCTGCTGCTGCCCATCTCCCAAGTGTGGGGACATCCTCAGGTTTGTCCCCAACTGTCCATGGAGATAGGGACTAGTCACAGATGGATCCCCATCCACATTTCCAGGGCGGAGACAGAAGGTAACAGACAAAAATGGTCGCTCCCAACAGTCTGGGAGCTCCATCATTTAGAGTCCCGTGAAGAAGCCATTGTGGGGAGCTTGGTCTGCAGACGGGGCTGGAGGTGTGGAGTATTTGGGTGGGTAACGAATGAAGAGCCTGTCTTCCTCTTTCCTCACCCAGCGCAGCAGTTTAGTCACAACCAAGATGGCACCTGCCTTGGTCACCAAGGGGCTGAGGCATGTATAAAGCTCGAATTTGGAAGTCACCTGGAGGGATTGGGAGGAGACAGAATCAGATGGGCTAGAGTGAGCCATGAACAGTCCTGTCCCCTGAAACCCAGTCCTAGGTTTGCATCCTGAAGCTTGGGAGATGAAGATGGCATCAACTCCGACCTGGGGCTGAATGGACTCTCAACTAAGGCAGGTTAGTAGGTAATATTGTGGCAAGAGTAAGCCAGGGGGCTGGGAATGTGGCTTAGTGGTAGAGTGCTTGCCTAGCATGCATGAAGCCCTGGGTTTGATTCTTCAGTACCACATACACAGAAAAGGCTAGAAGTGGTGCTGTGTTTCAAGTGATAGAACACTAGCCTTGAGCACAGAGAGGCTCAGGGACAGAGCCCAGGCTCCGAGTTCAAGCCCCAGGACTGGAAAAAAGAAAACAAATTTAAAAAACAGAGTAAGCTAGGTGCTATATGTTACTATTGAGAGCCCTTGGTTTGCTTATCTGTGAGAAAGGGATAAAAGTCATAGAGCTGCACAGTGAGTGAGCAATTCCTGCTCTACACATCTCAGTTTTCATTATTTATAGCCAAGGAGTAATCTAAGAGGAACACAAGTTCTATCTTCACAACAACTTGAAAGACCTGATTCCATGGGTCAGCAGTACTTTTCCCCTGCCCCTATTCACCTGCCGCCCTTCTCTCCTGCTGCAGCTCATCCTCACCATGCTGTCCCTCAACACAGGGGGCCTTGGCAATTCTGGCAGCATTGGCAGAGTCCTTTCCCTTTGCTAGGTGTCCTCTTCCTGCAGATAACCATGTGGCCGGCTACCTCTTTTCTCCACTTGGAGGCCCGCCCATTACGGAGATCTCTCCTGACCACCTGACTTATTATTTTGCTCTCTGAATGTTATTCTCTACTAAAAAGCATGCAGATTTCTTGGAAAAACGGCAGAGTCTAGGACTGCATGTAAGCTAACAGGAATGCGTTAAGAGAGACACAGGTCTCATTTTGGCTAATGCAGGACTCCCACTAGCTAAATCAGAGACAAATTCAGCACCAAAATACATGTTAGAAAAGATATTCTAGCCCGCTAAATTAAGCACAAATCCATGAAACCACATTTATATAGCATGAAAATCTTAACAAATAAACAGAAGAAGGAAAATTCTTCCTTCTTAGAATCTCAAAGTATAAAATGAGAAAGGAGGGTGGAGTTAGAAAGCAACATTGGGGGAAACATGAGACTATTAACCGTTTCAAGTCCAAGTAAGTAATGGCTGTTACAATGAGTGAGTGAAAAGAATGATGAAAGACATGACATTGGTATAGTAATCATAACTGACAAGCATGTACTAATTACAAGGAGGAAAATACTAACTTTGCAGTGGAGAAATGTGAAGCATACCACCTTGACAAAGTGGCCAGGCCTGACATCATCCACAGGACACACTGACATAATATATCATCCACAGGACATACTGACGTCATATGCTCTCAACAAGATGTATAGAAAGGCACACATCACTTTGGGGTGATTTCTGCCGAAAGGCAGATCTCAATAAGATCATGACATACTATGAGAAAAACACCACTGAGGGGTACTCTACAAACTGACTTTCATCAGTTCCAATGCCATAAGACAAAAAGACTGGGAACTGTTCCAGAATAAATGAGACAAGGGAGGCACCATAAGTAAATCCCCGTATGTGATCCCAGGATCACATTCTGGACCATTAAAATGACACAAATGGTCAGTTGTGGAATGTAAATGAAGTGTATAGATTGACTGTGAACTGCAGCCATGGGAATTTCCTGGTTGGGTAAGTTACTGTGATTTTGTAAGATGTTGACTTTTGGAGAAATGAAGTGAAAGGGCCTCTTCGTGTTAATTTTTGAAAACTAGACCGGCAACTTCTTAAGTGGAAAATTACTTGAAGTGAAAGTTTTAAAAATCAAAATAAAATCCCCAGCCTAAAACAAGCCCCCCGCCCCTCCACAAATGTACAATGAGTTACTTAATAAACTACCAGAGACTTCGTTTCCCATGGGGTCACCTTGACTGGGCTTCCTTGGGAACTACTCTTGAACAGAGCCACAAGAGAGGCAGGCAAGAACTCAGAAAGGAAACTCCAGATAGAGGACACAACATGAGACACAACCCATAGTAGTCAAAAAGTGCTGGGTGACTCAGTCATGGACTTGAATGGGAAAATTCAAGGGATGTTTGCTAAAAGGTTTCTGCCTACTGAAGGGGGAGAAGCAAAATGAATATAGAAGCTGCACACAGCAGCAAGGTCTTAGGTGGTGGAAAGTATGTAATAGTAGGATGGTGTTGTCGGCTAAGCTTTTGCTGATGATGCTGGACTGGACACTAGACCAGTAAAATGACCATGGTCATGGAGCAGTTGGTGGAATCTGAAAGGATGTATTACAGGGAAAGTGGGGAATGCATCATGTGAGGCTCCGACTCAACTCACCCAGGCCAGCAGTGTCTCGTTCTGGGCCACGTGGTAAATGAGGCGCAGGGGTCGGGAGGAGCTGTGGAGGCGGGCGTGTAGCCGGTGGTACAGGTCAGACAGCCGCTGCCGCTCCTCCTCTTTGCTGTAGGGAGCCTCCAGCTCAGGGCTGCCATGAGGGAGGGAGGAAGAGGGCAAGGTGAGTCGGGGCCTTCTTGGCTGGCTTATCTCTTCTCCATCTACAGCTTTCAGTTAAGTAGGGGGGGAGAGGGGCTGAGGATTCTCAGCAGCATGGAGGCCAAGCTTTCCCCATGTAACAGGGGTTCCCTAAGTACTAGGCCCTTTGTGCCACTAGACTGGGACTCCTTTCCATTGGTGGTTGAACCTCCATTATCAGAGAACTATTCTTTCCCTCGGGTAAGGGTGGGGAAACCACTAGAAATCATTTGGTGCATGACAGAGCAGACACAGGATTGCTCTGTTATTTCCTGTCAGCTAACCAAGGCTATCTGCCTGTACTGATCATCCTGTATGGCCCATAACTGACATTATCAATATCCGCACGACAGTCCTTGGCAAGAAAAAGGGTTCCCAACCCCAGGACACAACTAGCTGTCTCCCATGAGACATGCCTACGAGTTAGAGGATGTCTCCCCACCTGGCCAACTGCACAGGGCCCACCTGGTAAACTGAGGCAGCTGGCGGTGGTGGTCAGGGATGTCCAGTGGCTTGTAGAGGAAGTGCCGGAGGCCAGGCGCCCCCACAGCCTGCACGCTGTAGGCCGGGGCACCTAACCAGTGGGTGCTGGGGTTGCTGGCAGCCTCTCCAAGGGCTCGCAGGGCCCCGAGGGCACGCATCCCGTCTTCCACCATTCGCCGGCAGGCAGCCATGGCGTGGAAGGCTTCCCGCTGGGTGCCAAGCAGAAGCAGGCAGACTGGCATAGAATCCAGGCGTGCCACATAGGCATAGAAGAAACCATCGGGGTTGAAGCGGGGCAGGCACACTGGTGCCCAGGCCTCACCAGCAGCAAAGGCTGGGGCACCCACCCAGTCAAGCAGCAACTGAAGGTCCGCGGGGTCCAGCCGGCACTCGGCCAGCACATTGCGCTCCTGAGCTGCTGTTATCAGCTGGCCACCAACTGCCAACACTGACAGGGCCAGGCCCGGTGTTGTGCAACGCCGCAGCAGTGTGCCCAGTGCTTCCCGCAGCGGCCGGGCCAGGGGCACACAGCGCACAGCACCCAGGAGCAGGGCGCCTGGATCTCGCTCTACGCTGTCCAGAAGCCGGTCCAGGGTGCGCTCTGAGCCTGCCAGCAGGCGGCGGAGATCGTAGTTCTGCTTGTGCGCGAAGATGCGAGCCACACTTGCTCGTGTCAATGTGCTCACAATCTGTGCGTGCACAGCCAGCAGCTCCCCCCGCAGCTGTGCTGCTGACTGTGAAGTCCGAGACACGGCCACCAGCAGCAGTGGGCCCTGCTGTAGGAACACCAACTTGTGGTCCTCTGGGGGAGGGAAGGAGCAGGTCAGGGGAGAGACAGATCAGGAAAGGCCTATGGCGGGGAGAGGGGCGCTTCAGTGAAGACCCCTGGCAGACTGCCTACTCACTCCAGCTCACCTCTGGTGGCCGGACAGTGGCTCAGGTAGGCAGGCAGATCTAGCCACAGCTCGTTAGACAGATGCCCAGCCCTCGCAGACACATTCCCAGTCACACCCCCCACCCTTCACTTACCGGCATAGATGGCACGGATGGCATCTCCGGCGCTCTGCACAAAGGACACCAGGGCTGTCATCACCCCCATGGTGGCTGACAAGGCCTCCACGCTGCCGTAGCGTGAGTAGATCGGCTTGCCAGCCTCGCTCAGTACAAACACGTGCTTCCGTTGGCAGCGCCAGTCCTCGTCACTGGGGTCCCCGCCCTGGCCTCCAGAGCCGATGTCAGGGCCGTGAATGGGAACCCTGTCGGAGGCCGCAGTCCTTTCTGGCTCAAAGGTGTCTGCCGGGGCCTCCGACATGGGCAGTGGCGACAGGAGGTTGGACAGCTCATCCTTGGCCTCGGACTCTGAAAGGCAAGTCATCTGCAGGTGGATTCCCACTGACCCCATGTTCCCCCGAATCCATCAATTGTTTCCAGCCCCCCACCAACTTCAGCCTGATGAGGGGTATCTCCCTTGACACTTAGTGGGCTGTGACTCCCAGCAATTGATGACTGGGACCCTGGAAATGATGTCTACTCGCACTGAAGGTTCCAGTGGCCAAGTGACCCAATATGCTGTCACTGGCACTCACTGTCACTCACCGCTGTGTCTCAATCTAACTATTCCCTTGGCAACAATGGCTACTCCCAAGTCTTCAAAGCGTTCCATGGCTTCTGATTGAACATGGATTCCTTTGCCTTCAATAGTCCCCTTGATCCCCTATCTCCTGATACCTATACCACTGACTACTATGACTATCTCTCTCTATATCATTTCCCCAACTTCTGATTTCCCTAACCCCTTTATTCCCACTGATGTCCACTGATCGCTAATGAGTCTCCTCCCACTGACTCTTGCAGTCAAGCATTTATATATTTTCAGTGATGTTAGTTCTCTTGATGTCACCCAGATCGTCGAGTCCCCCCCATCCCCAGTCACTGAACCCTATTTGCTTCCACAGATACATTATAACATCCCAACCAAACCCATATGAATGACTTTCACTGACTGCCCCATCTACAAATTAGCTAACACCATTATCTACCCTTTCTTCTACTAATGACAACCATGAACTTCCACTAACACACAGGGCTATGATGACCTCCACTGCCCTTCTCCATGACTGTCAGTAGCTTTCATACAACCCACTGCTTCAAAGATTCCCACCGCTTCTTCCCCTTACACTACCATTTATTCCTACTGATGTTTACTGCCTCATCAAGAGCCGTCATTTATTATCCATTAGAAGCTATGTTGCTGTAATTTGCCCAGGAAATCCCAATGACCTCATATTCTCTCAATGTTATTCACGGACAACTCCTGTTACAAAAACAAAACAAAACAAATAACAACAACAAAAAACCCCAACTACCTCCCCTCAGTCATTGCCTTTACCTGTCAATTCCCAAGTCTTGAAAGAGCTTCCCATTTGCTCTCAGTGATGCCTACTAATCCTTTCCAATGGTCCCATCAACATCCACTGATTCCAAAATAATAAATGAGCAAGGATTCTCAATCACTCCCATCAACTTCCCCAAAGACAACTGGTACGTATCCACTAAGCAGGTCAAATCTTCCCCTACTGATCATCTGATTCTCCAAATATCCTTTTAATTCTCCTGTCCTATCAATCACCATAAACTCCCGCTAACACTTGCCCCCCCCCCAGTATCTCCGATGATGTAAACTATGAATGGTCCCTGACCTCCAGGGGTCCCTTTTCCCGATGCAATGACTTAACTTCCTATTTCTCCCTATCACTTCATTAATGAATAGTCCCTCTTCTGTCCCCATTCTTTTACTCATTCACTGATCCAAGCAGGACCATGGCACTGTGTAGGGGAGTGAACATCGACTGACAACACTTTGATTTTCTTCTCTCCCCTTTTCGTCTCTCAGTGAGTCTACCCAGCTGCGGTCCAAGCTCCTTCCTTCAGCGCCTGAGGCTCCTCACTGGTCTCCCACGAACTCCCCACCTCGCCTAACAATGACAACCCCCAGGGGTTGCTCCTAGGACCCCCGCTGTGTGTGTGTGAGGGTGGGGGGTGTGGAGGGGGCTGTACCTGGCTCCCCCGGGGCCGGGTCTCCAGGATCGGGTGGGCCCGGGTGATCCCCGGCAGCGTTCCCGGTCTCCTCACTGGGGCCCCGCGTGTCCTCCACGTCCCCGGCGCCCCCGGGGCCCGGGACAGCAGTGTCTCCTCCGGCCTCCATCTGCACATCCCTGCAGGGGTTGAGGGGCAGCAAAAGAAACTTCTTAAGACGCTTTTACAGGGGACCCCCGCCCATCACACGCGTCCCCAGCGCAGGCTCTCCCCAGACAGTGGGACCTTCGCAATAACCCGCACCCCGGACACGCGGGGGCTCCGGGCGCGCCGCGGCTCACAGATGAAGACACACAAACACCTGTGTCCACCCCGAATCTCCACCGGCCGGCCACCGGTACTTCCCGGAGCCGCACCTGCTCCACACTTCCGGGTCCTGCTGGGAATTTGCCACACTTCCGGCTGGGACGCCGCACGCCGCAAGCACTTCCGGCGGCGAGGGAGCGTTCTATGCTCGCGGGGGCGCCCGCCGCCCGCCGCGGCCCGTCCCTCCCCGTGTCTCTCCTGGCTCCGCGTCGGAGCTGACCCGGTACCCGACGATTTTCGTCAGCAGCCACTTCCCGCCGAAGCCGCCGCAGACGTGAAGCGGACCGAGCGCGACCCGCTTCGCGCCGAGGGCTGCTGGCGTGCGGGGGCGTGGCCCGCGCTCAGCCAATCCCGGAGTCGAGAGGGAGGGCCCACCCCCTTTTTGGACCAATCAGGAGGAATCCGTCCGCTTTCCCCCCCCCGCCCAGTTTGTACCTTCCTTGTGCTTGGGCTGCTGTTTGCACCCGCCCACCGCTTGACTGACGTTTCCCTGGTCAGAACCACAGGTCTCAGTCTGTTCTTTGCACAGGAGGATTTTGCAGCCTTAATCGATAGGTCTGTAGCACCCGCAAGTGTGCTCCCTCGGACCTGAGACCCCTTCTCAACCCCCGAGAAGTGCTGGGATTCGTGGGGGTGGAAGCTTGATGGGCAGTCACCGCTTCCAATCGGAATGCCGCGCGCAGACTGGCCAGCCAATAGGACTCCGATCCTCCAGTAAGAGGCGGGCTTCTCGGAGCTGGGAATTATTCGTAGGTTTCTGCCCTTAGCCGAAGGGCTGCTCAGGATCCACTCTACAAAGAGAAACTCAGTGGTGGAACGAGACCGTGCTTTCCCTCGGAAGAATGCTCTCCTCCCTTCCTCCCCGTTCCCTCTCATCTCAAGTTCTGTCTCTGCATCTGTGGTCACCGCTGGCTTCCCCCTTTCCGGATGAATGGCACCACCCCTGCCCCTGTCGGGAGAAGCCCCCTAGGTTGGGCCTAGGACTCCATCCTCCACCCAATTCCCCAGCGCTCCTGGGCTGGCGGGGACATCGGTCCCGCCAGCCAGCCTCTCCTGGATGGTAAGTTTGGAGGAGTCGAGCGGACTCCCCGGACAGGACCCCTCACCCCCAGGGCTCGGGGCCCCCACTTCACGAGCGTGACAGTGACAGCACATTGTAGACCCCGCTGGCCTCACAGGATTCGCCTGACTCGATGGTGCTGCCAAGTAGAAGCCCCCGTTCTTGTATTCATGATCAGAGAAAACCCACTTCAAGGTAAGGGAGAGGGAAGTGGGTTACGTCACGACGGCTTAAAAGTCAAGAACACGTTTCCGTCCAGAAGACGCGGCAGTTCCAAATGTGCGCACATTGACACACGAAACTTCCAGGCACATCCCCACGCAGGAAAACGACCACGAGGATCACACTTCGGGCATCTAACTCCAGCTCCACCGTTAAGCCAAGCGTGACTGTAGGCCCGTAATTCCAGCTGAAGGAATATAAGTAGGACAGAAGTCAGGCAAGCCCTGAGCAAAAAAAACTCAAGACCCCAAGTTAACATAATAATAATAATGATAATAATAATAATACACAGTGTAAAAGGCTGGAGTCGCAACTTAAGTGGCAGAGCGCAAGCTCAAGGCCCTGATTTCAAACCCAGGTGCCACCAAAACCAAACCAAACCGAAACAACAACAACGAAACCCCAACAAAGTATATCACTCTTAATTTGGCAAAACTCAGGAGAAAATATGGAAGTCATAATACAAGGTGCAACAATTAGCAGTGCCTGTAAACAGAAAGAAATATGGGTGCAGCAGATATGTGCAGATATTTAATTGATTTAAGACATTTGTGAAAACATTATAACCAGCTACACTCAACAAATGGGACCATGAAACTTTTTTTTTTTTAAAGTAAATCAGAATACGTTTCCTGATTACAACAGAATGAAAATAGAAACTGTTAGCCAAAGCTGTCTGGGAATGGTTCCAATTTTATAAACTAATCCAATCTTCTGCATACTAACCCACAAATTATGTAATAAATCCCATGATATATTAGTATCATTGATTGTATGAACATGAAAGCACAACAAATAAAAATTGCAGAGCCTAAACTGGTGTTCATCTAAGGTCTTAGAGTCAGCTTGCTGACTTGTGTCCCTACCTGTTTACAAAAATCTGTTAAGTTTCTATTTCCCCAATGTTGTATTGTTTTCCTGGAGTGACATACAAATTCCCACCCCAGTTACAACAGCCTCACTAGACTCCTTCTCAGAATGTGACTCTCCTCCCAATTCCTGTGGTCCACATAACACCTTCATAACACCTCTGCTTGTAACTGACCCCACCCCCAAATTCCCATAGTCTACACAATGACCCATGGGACTGCCCTAGTGACCTATGGGACTGTCTTCTGAAATTGTGTTTAAATCCACACCTGTCCATGGCTGCTGCCTCCATTCCTGCTTGAAGCAGCCTGGCAGGTCTGTCCCCCCCCCCCCATAAAGCTTTGAGTTTGTATTGGTTGCTCTCGCTCGCCACTCATTTTTTACAGCTCATAAGTAAGTTTATAGTTCTATACATGCCAGGTCGATATGATGAAATGTCCTTCATCACCAATGAAGCTGGAAAATGAAGAGAAATTACACTTGAAGCAAGTAAGAAATACGGGAATAATAAAGATAGGAATAGAATCCAGTAAAAGGAAACATACAGCTAAGAGATACAATCAGCCTAAAATACTTAACGTTTTTGCAAAGGTCAGGAAAATAACTAAGATTTGTACTTAAATGATAAAACAGAGGAGAAAGATTACCAGCATCAGAATCGAAAGAGGAAGCATTGTTAGAGATCCTAGAGACAAGACATTCCAATGGTAGGCGAACCTTGATGTCATATTTCATTAGTGCTAGTACTGGGGCTTGAACTCAGGACCTGGGTACTGTTTCTTGAAGTTTTCACTCAGACTGGTGTGCTGTCACTTGAGCCACAGCTCCACTTAGGGCTTTTTTGGTATTTAATTGAAGGTCAGAGTCTCATGGGCTTTCCTGTCTGGGCTGGCTTTGAAACATGATCCTCAGATCTTAGTCTCCTGAGTAGCTAGGATTACAGGTGTGAGATGCCAGCTTCCGATTTGGGATGCCATACTTTTCTCTGGCTTTCAGTTAATTTGTAGGTCCAAGCCAGAAATCAGTGCTTCCTTAGCAAAAGCAGCTTTGAAACACCTGTTAACAGGGACCAGCCGAGGACCTGAAAGCTCTGGAGAATTTGCTTTTGTTCTCAGCCGAGAGGCAACTTGGGGGGCATGCCTCAGTAAGTTGAAGAAAATGCCTAGGAGCCTTTGTGATGCCCATACACAGAAAATGGAAGGATAAGGTCTTTTACACACATAAAGATGATCGTCTTTCTCACCAACAACCAGTAGATGGCAGACAAAACCATGTTTCGTTTGGTTTTTCTATGTGTGTGTGTTTTGATAGGGTGACAGGTAGGTGCTTTAAACATTTCGGACTTGTGAGAACCTACAGACTTTCTGAGATCAGCTTGGCCCAATGTAGTATCTGAAACGCTGGTTGGAACATAATACAATGTCCACATTTAGCGAGCCATTACATGGGCCAGGCATGGGGGAAATCATACCTGTAATCCAGGTTATTCAGAAGGAATAAGTAGGAGGATCCAAACTTGAGACCCTATTGGAAAATAAAGTTTAAAGAGTTGGAGGCTTGGGTCAAGTGGCACTTGCCTAGCAAGGACCAGATCTTGAGTTGAAACCCCAGGGTCATTTGAAAACAAAACAGCAACAATAACATCAAAGGACAAAAAAAAAGAGAGAGAGAGAGAATAATTAACTCTCATCCCAAATCTCAGCATGTACCTGATGATGATTTTTGTTGTATTGTTTCTGGCATTACCAAAGATCAAATCAGGGCCTTCTGTGTGCCAGGCACATGCTGTACTGCTGAGCTACACCTTCAGTCCCCCTTCTTTTCCTAGTTTATCTTTGAGTAGATCTTACTCAGGGAGAAAGGGGTGGGCGGAGCTATCTGCAGCCCACCTGGATAGACTCTGTGGAATATTTCCACTGACCTCCTTCTTTCTGAGGAAGATCACTCACAGCCAGACTTGGCTGAGTGAGCTGTAATTTCCATCCTGCCTTCTGAAAGTTGCTGTTCCTCTTTCACCCATGGAACCCTCCTGACCAATCCCATCCTTGTCTGGACTCAGAAGGAAGACCTGAACTACCCAATCAGAGTAACCCAGCTAGGCCACAGTGATTGGTTCTGGCAAGGACATGTGATCCTGGGTGGACCAATAGGAGACTTCCTTGGGAGTTTTTTTTTTTAATGCATGAGAAATGAAAAGGCTAACTCTTTAGCCGGGGAACTAATGGATGCCAACCTAGCTGATTCAAACAGAGGAAGACTGTAGGAGGAATGGTGCCAGAAGGGCTGTGAGCTGAAGACACCAAGAGCCCCAAAGCACTGAGTCTGACATGTCAGCATGAAAACCAGGTGTAGTTCTACATCTCTATTTCTGTGTCTCTATGATTTTCTTTCTGCTTAAGGACAAAGAGTCTCTCAAGTCTCTTGTATACTTTTGAGCTGCTGTACTGTACTTCTAACCCCACACCCTGGCCTGTGCGCTTCCGCTGCGACACTTGCTGAGCCATTTCAACATTCTGTCAATGATAGATTATTTTATTTACGAAGATCTTCAAAGAAGATGGCCACAAATCTACAGAATATCACCGTTTATCCCTTCAAAGTAGCTTCTGTAGTTGGTGCTGCCACCATCAATATTGGGTGTCGCTTCAAGAAATAATTGATATGTTTAGGAATATTGTATTAATATTGTCTACTTTTTTCCCTCAGGAAACAAGATCTATCTATCTATCTATCTATCTATCTATCTATCTATCTATCTATCTATCTATCTATCTATCTATCTATCTATCTTTATACTGGCACTGGAACTTGAACTCTGGTACTTTACCATTTGAGCCCCAACTCTACTCCCAGCTTTTTGCTGATTAATTGGAGTCTCATAGACTTTCCTGTCTGGGCTGGTGTCGAATCATAATCCTCAAATCTCAGCCTCCTGAGTAGCTAGGATTACAGGCACGAGCCACCAAAGTTCAGCTACGAAATTATTTTATCAGGATAATTGCTTAAACTTGAGGGAGGAGAAGTCAACAAAAACATTTCAAGCCACATGTATTAGGTATTTCTTGCACAGGTAGAAAAATATGTTTATCTATAATGGACTCTCCATCATACCATGTACTCTATTGTCTTCCAGCTAATGTCTGGCCCTTTTTAATTGTATCGGATTCTGACAATTTAAATTCCATGTTATGTTCACCTCATTGGCTTCTAGAAATGGATTTAAGAATCAGACTTTAGAGGTTCTTTACCAGTCACAGGAGGCTACTCTTATTTATTAGAAAAGGCTGCAGCAGCACCTTCAATATAACCTGTTAATTTCAAGGGACTTTGAAAACTGGCTGTAGTCCACATCTTTCGCATTAGGAAACATCTGTGCCTTTTGAGATAGAGGGCTCTTTTTCCTTTTCTTTCCCCCCTTCTTTACTTTTACTATTATTATTTTTTTGTCTCTAAAAATCATGCAATGCTATTCTTCCAGGTACTTTCACAATACACAGCCCACTTTAGTTGTATATAATGAACGTGGTCTCTAGCTGCTTGGTTGGAGACAATGTAATTTTATTTTTAGCCCTGACTGAAAGCTTCTTGTAAGATGCACATAGGAAATGTAGGAACCTTGCTGAGCACTGGGTACTGTCCTCTAAGAGGTGCTAGTACTCCTCAGACTCCAACTATTGGTCTTCCCTCTGGCCCTCCCTTCTCTGAAGGCCCTTCCCTTTCCTCCCCTTCTCCCAAGATAATGGTAGGTGGCTGTCTAAGGTAACCCCAAAGCTGAGGGTTTTTGTTTGTTTGTTTGTTTGGTTGGTTGGTTAAGGCAAGCAGAAACCAAACAGCTAGGGTCAGGCCCCATACCCTTAGAAGACTCCAAGCTATTTCTGCTTCCACAGTCATCACTCCATTTTCATTCTCTATGCAGCCTGGCAAAGCTAAAGATGGCAAACATGGGTTGGGTGTGCTGCAGCTTTCCTCATTGTGATTTCTATCTAACCGCCCCAATGATTTGTCAAGTGCTTTATAAAGACTGTGTGGGGCTGTTTACAGAGGCTCCTTACTTTAGAGAGACCAGGAAGCTTCAGAAAGACAAATAGGCCATTTCATGCCCTGGAAGGATATCTGATTATCCAGGGAACGAGCTGGAAGAGCCAGAGAGAGAACAGAGACCGGTAGAGGAAGGAAGGGGGCAGCCTGGGGGCCTTGAAGTAGTGTGTGTGTGTGTGTGTGTGTGACATGGTGCAGTATGAAGCTTCTGAACAGGAGTCTTTTTTTTGAAGACTTTATGTTTTCTTTTTCTTTTTGCCAGTTGTGGGGCCTGAACTCTGGGCCTGGGCGCTGTCCTTCAGCTCTTCAGCTCAAGGCTAACACTCTACCACTTGAGCCACAGCACCACTTCCAGCTTTTTCTTTTTATGTGGTGCTGAGGAATCAAACCCAGGGCCTCATGCATGCAAGGCAAGCACTCTATCCATTGAGCCATATTCCCAGCCCTGGAGCTTTTATCTTAATAGCAATCAGTTGCTGTTTATAAAGCCTCTTTTTTATACTGTAAAATTAATTTATAGTAGATTCTGGGTAAGTGTATGAATTCAAATGTAATAGTAATCTCAAAAATAATCTCTTTACAGCCTACTGGTGATCAAGTTTCTCAACAGGACACACACACACACACACACACACACACACACACACTCACACAGGCAAGCACACACACTTTATGTGCCAGTATCACATGGTACCAGCATTTTACACAATTTAACTTTCCAGTCAATCAGCCCTGCCTTTTCCGAACAATATCCTACTTTGAAATCTTGGAAAATTAAAATTCAACATATGATTTGACCCTGTCTTTGAAGACCCAGTAGGTAAAGATGAGGATGATGTGTTTAAGGGGAAATAAGTTGATCACAGCTCATACCCATTTTATAAGAGATAGAGGTGAATGATAGAGAGACTAAGTAACATGCCTATGGCCACACAGCAAGTTCATGAAAAGCCACCAAGTCATCTATGAAAAACATTTGTATATATGAATGTCTATCATTACTGATGCCACATGTATCTGGAGATACAATAACAAATGAATATACAATAATAATAAATGATGTACAATAATAATAAATGAATCCCCCTGCGCTATTTTAACATCATTGGAGGATAGAATACAGTCTTTCTCCCTCTTGATGACATAGAATTGGAGAAGGACATGAAGAGGCTCTGGTGACACTAAGGGAATCAGCAAGTGGCCCTGATCTATTTGTTTTATACTCTTGTAGGCAAGGGCTGGTTAGACTCATGTGGTTAGACTCATGACTTACATCTTAAGCATATTCCTATGCAAGGAGATGGATTGTGTTGGGGCCATTGTTTGGGTTGTTAATCTGCAAGTAAATTGCAGCTATATGTCGGTCTGGGCACCCTGATGAGTTGTCACTTGGAAAAGAAGGCACAGGTCATAACCTGGGGCCAAGACAAAGCAGGATAATGACCGTGGAGGCTAATCCCAGAGCATTTTGAGATGTCCCCTAGGGCTTTTTTTCATATCCCAGGACCTTTCAAGGCCAGTGGAGTAGTCATGAGATTATTGATTTTCCCTTTGGTAAATTTCTCCTGGGAACTATTGGTTTCCCTTTGGGAAAGCCTTCAGTACACTGCGAGTTTTCATTCACATAATACTATTATCATGATTAATATGACCCTGCCGGGTCCTGTTGTTCCTTCTTAATCTATTGGGATAGTTATGATACATCATTCATATGATTATACTAACAGTATAATTAAAACTAATACCATAATTAAGAACGAAGAGTTCCTTGTAAACAGGAGGATAAATCCATATTCTAATGGATACTGTGCAGTTGGAAGGAAGTGGATTCTCATTCATTAAAGCACTGCTAATTATTACTAATGTGTTAGTGATGATAAATACCAACCATAAGTAATGATAATGTACACAATACAAATACAAAACTTATTGAGTGCTTACTTGATCTCTCAAGTATTTCAAGTGTCTTTCATGTGTTAAATATTTAATCTGGGTCTTAGCCTGTCACAGTTGAAGAACTCAAGGCTGAGTCGCTCCCCTTGAGATACCACAGCCATAAATAAAAAGAACTTGGATTTTAACCCAAGTGCCAAGAGCCCAAGCTCTATGTAGTTAACTTCTATGGCAATTAAGGAATCATGTCAGTTTAATCCACATTTTCTTTTTCAATAATACGTTCTGTCAAGAAAGACGGAAAACCAAGGTCTTTTCCTAGATCCTTTCCTATTCCCTGGCTCCCATCTGGCTCTCATGGAGCTTGAACTCAGGGCCTGGGCCCTGCCCCTGAGATCTTTTGCTCAAAGCTAGTGTTCTACCACTTTGAGCTACAGCACTATTTCCAGTTTTCAGGTGGTTAATTGGAAATAAGAGATTCACGAACCTTCCTTCCTGGGCTAGCTCTGAGCCATAATCCTCAGATCTCAGCCTACTGCATAGCTAGGATTACAGGCATGAACTACTGGCACCCTGCTCTCCTGTTCCTCAGTTCTCTGCACTGTGTATGGACAGGCCTACTGTGTGCTATGACTCCACCAGATGGCTATGGGAAAGCTGACAAGTCTTACGGAAATTTAGACTCCTCCCCATGGTGGCATCTTAGTGCAATGGGGCAGTTATGAAGTGGGTGACTGCTCTGGTCCCTGCAGGGCTTGGGGGGTGCTTCTGGGTGTGGAAACATTGGAGAGGTTTATTTTGTTACTCAGTTGCATCTTGGATACCCACACATGAGGTGCCCACACCTCTTCCCATCCTCGTGAACCCTTCACGCCGAGGGGCTGGCTATGCCAACGGGAAAATGTCACTGTACGAGCTCAAATGTCAAGGTAAACCCACCAGCTCTTCTCCAGCCATATCTCCTCACCCAAACAAAAGACTCTCTACCTGCTGTCGGGGAATGAAGGGGCTGTTGGACTGGAAAAGCATGCTCAATACCAAGACGTCAAACTGCCCTCCCCGCCCTCCCCCAGCTCACAAACATAC